CAAGGCGATTTAGCCGATACCGGCAGAAACCCTAAAGCGAGAGACAGCCGATAGAGCTAAATTGATATGCTAAGACTAGATTAACAGAGACATATAATAAATAGGTAGGCAAATATATCATCCAAACCAGAGCAATCCAAGAGGTCGAATGTACTGATGCAGCCTTGAACGACGCCGATGTAGATGAGACAATTGCCTGGGTGCCAAGTTCCGCCGGAACGTAAAAAACAAAAGTAGAAGTAAAAAGGGTGGCGATGCGCTGAATTGTATTGATCGTAGCGATAGATTACATAGACCCCGGGTGTATATATTTATACCCATGTGTTGATACAAGTCCTTGTCGGACAAGAAAGAAACTAACCTAAAGATAAAAGAAAAATATAAAGTCCTTATCGGACACTAAACACACTTTCCTAAAGATAAAAGGAAACTAACAAACTATTCATAATTAATAGATAAACTGTCATGCCGCATCCTCTTTAAACTCGGTCACTTAGGGATAAGCTTCCTTTAGTAGATTGATTTTCTTAACCGAATATAGCAGGAATTCGACTATTGGCGACTTGATAACTCCCATCGGCTGATTCCGAGATGCTGCAGCCGATAATGATTCTTAGCCGATGACGTCTTTACCGATTACCAAATTTCACTGTTAACACTCTTGTAATAGCATAAATATGAATCCACACACAGGAGTAGGGTATTACGCTTCCCAGCGGCCCGAACCTAAATAATCCCTGGTCTATCTCTTGATCGCCATCCACCACACTAGCCAAATCCACGGCGAAGATGCGCTCTTGATCATCGCGCCCTATCCCCTGGCCGAACTCACAAAGGGGGGCCTCACGTCCTCCCGCTAGAGAGGATCACTCCTCGACAACATGATAAATGACTACAAATTACAAAATTACAGCTTAATTAAAAACAAGATGACCACTAAGAAGTCCACCCTAAAGTATTTAGAGAACTCTATCCATTGTTGATCATAGTGTGCGTAACAGTTGTTTCTAGCAACAGCTTACAAGTTGTACGCAATCCTTATCTTTCTTAAACCATAAAAACGTAATTTCCAAAACTAGTGATCAATTATTTGTCGATGAATTCAGCTCCCATCACTGTTGGTGAATGGCATCAAACATAAGTGGAAGAACATCAATGATTATCCGAGTTGTAAATCAATCATTAGTCTAGAGCTTACCACCACCAAATAACTTACAAGTTGTACGTAGTCCTTATCTTTCTTAAACCAGAAAAACAAAATTTCCAAAACTAGTGGTCAATTATTTGTCGATGAATTCACCTCCAATCACTGCTGGCGAATGACATCAAATATCAAAGATTATCTAAGTTGTAAATCAATCATTAGTCTAGATCTTACCACGACCAAACAACTTACAAGTTGTACATAGACTTTATCTTTCTTAAACTAGAAAAACAAATTTTCCAAAACTAGTGGTCAATTATTTGTTCATTGAATTCAGCTCCCATCAATGCTGGTGAATGGCATCAAACATCAAAGATTATCTGAGTTGTAAATCAATCATTAGTCTAGATCTTACCACCACCAAATGAACCCAATCTAATAGGGAAACCGCAGTACCATCAAGGAACATCTAACATAATGTCTTTAGGAAGCTTGCGACATCTTAAATACCATCATCGCTAGGTTTTCACTCAAAGAGTTGCAAACAACTTTCCCTCCAAAACCGCATAGACATCCCATCCGATAGGCGGGTCCACTTACACACCTTTCCACTTACACTTTCGTCCTCGTTTCGTGAACCTTTATAGCTACACAAGCATACAACTATACAAGCAAATGTCCAGTAACATGTCCCTTCTTAGGCCCTGTTTCTTTCAGCTTGGGATTATTATAATCCAGATTATTGGGAGTAAGCTGAAAGAAACAGATAACTTATTGAAGTAGCTTATTATAATCTGGAGCCCAGCTTATTATAATATGATAAGCTCATTTAGGTGAGCTTTTTCCAGATTATTGGATGAAAAATTACCCACCATGCCACCCCACTCCCTTTTTAGACTTACAAACCCAATAATCTATGCTCTAATAATCTAGGAAAGAAACAACTAACCGCTTATAACAATCTATTCTACTACAGATTATAACAATCTAGCTTATAGTAATCTGACTTAATAATCTAGATTATAATAATCCCAAGCTGAAAGAAACAGGGCCTTAATGCAAGTCCGTACGTCCAGTGCCGATGCCATATACCTCACATAGAGCCCACATGCACCATATGCCCGCACACCGACCCTTACTAAATTAGTAAGGTGGTACTAAACATGCGCACACAGCTCTCATGGCTGACACATGCTAAATCCTATTTGGGCTAGGATGTCACAAGATTCCACTCATGGCATGTATGACAGAAGGGGCGCTGAGACATCATCACCTTTAGGGAAGTGTTTGATGCCCAAAGGCGTCACCGATGTTAGTCTTTGGGTGCTCATGGCCACTACGGTCGGGTCAAGCAAACGACAATTAGCAACGGACTTGCAGCTGACAACAAAAGCCACCAAAGGCCAAGCAAGGAGACATGCCTGAGGGTGTTGTGGCCAGGGATGGATCGCACGACCTATGCCACTAATTGCGCCCCTAAGTCGTAGCCTCCTGCCGTTGCGCATCCGGCTATCGACAAGGAAGCCCGTAATGGTGACTAGTGCAAACAACCTCTCTATAGCGCAGCCCTCCCGCGCAAAAAGGAAGTCATGTCCGCGACAGCTCCCCACCTCGCCTTGTCACCATGCCATCCCGCCCTACGCTCGCCTTCTGTCACCATCTCGTCCTCGCATATCAACATCCTCACTAGATCCACGTCGCCGCCACCTTCCTTTGTGTGACATCCTCTTCGTTGCGCTGGTAGGAGAGGGATATGACGAGGGCGAAAACTTGTCATTGTTTTCGCCTGTTACACGGAACGGAAAAAACTGGATTGAGCGTGAGAGGCTACCGAGAGGCAACATGTTAAACAATACTCCCTTGATTTCATACTACAAGACTCTTTCAATTTTTTTTTCAAGTCAAACTTTTTAAATTAGACTAAGTTTTAAAAAGCATAGCAACATTTGAAATACGAAATAAACATACTATGAAAATATATTCATTGTTAGATCTAATAAAACTAATATGATATTGTAGATATTGCTAGATTTTTTTATAAACTTGATTAAACTTACTTGAAGAAAGCAAAACTGTCGACGTTTGATGTCGCGATTCTGGTATTTGCATAGTATGGAGATCGTTGGTACTAGAATATATGAGATTGTAGTAAAAGAGATGGGGACGAGGATTTTTATACAGGTTCGGGCCCCTGAATTGTCAGGTAATAACCCTAATCCTATTGGCCGAAGCCGGTCGTTGCTCTTATTCATCATAATCATACCAGTACAATATTTGGGGTAGCCTATCTATCTGTCATCAACTTGGCGGCCATAAAACCATCCCGTAGTCGACAACAGAGTAGTCTTCCTCCTCGAATCCGTGTCCGACGAGATCAGAGACAGCGCTAGATCCCTCCTGACGGTAGTCATAGGAACCGTATGGGGACTAACTAGGCTTATCTCCGATGTCGATATCCGGCGGCTTGTCTTGGCGTATATTGGCTTGTATGTTGATCTTGTGTCTTGATCTATTGTTCCGTGTCCCCTCTCCTCCTAGGGGGCTTTGTATTTATACCTATAGGTGTCCCCTTGTCCAAGTAGAACTAGTGAAATCAATATGGATACAATCCGAGTAGTACTTGTCGTTTCCATGCAGAACTCTATTTATCTTTCCTTATCCGGAACTCCTTCTATACCCGAAGATTGTTTCCGTATAAAACATGGTATGTGGTGGGTCCTGCCGAGATTTAGTCAACTACTATTAGTTATGTGGTATCCATAACCCTGACAAAAACATTTTATAATATATAAGATGGAACTAAAAAATTACACTAAAACCATTGTGTAAGAGACAACCTTTGCATAAGCTCTAAAAGAGATGAAAAATAAACTAGGCCCCTTTAAATCACATGAATGGAAAAATAGAGGAATAGGAAAAACACATGATTCTGAATGGAACGCAAGTACAAAACAAAGGATTACAAAACACATAAAAAAATATAAGGATGACCATTTGATAGGATCGTAAGAAAATCGTTGGAATTAGATGAAAGAGATAGGCTGGAAGAAAAATTTCAAGAGGTTGGAGTTCTTGCTAAGTTTCCTCCAAAGTTTGTCCATTTCATATGATTTTCAAAGGATATGGTATGATTCTATCTTTTATTTCATAGGTTTTGACAGGAATTTTTTCTATAGGAATGAAATCTTTCAAAATTCTTATGTTTTTCATGCAAATCAAAGGGGCCCTAATAGATTAAGAGCAAGTTTAATAGTATAGCTAACTATTAGCTCCAAATCATCCATAGTTAATTTAATAGGCAATTCATACAATAGTTACATATAAACATATACTACATAATTAATATCTGATTACATCTATCATACACACATGTATCTTGGAGTTCATATTGCAGCTGACTATAAATATGTAGCTCGCTGCTCTTCTCTCTTCCCTTTTATCTTTTTGAAATGTGTTTATAGCTGGCTTATAGTCTTCTATTGTACCTGCCGTAAGAGTGAACAATAAAATAAATTTATGATAATGTACTGGAGCAAGTGTGATAGAGATAATACGTTGCACATATAAAACAACTAGAGGTGACTATTAATTTCAATGCTTGACAAGCGGATGTTTTTCGTTTCTATAGGTAGGCAGAGGCTATCTTGAGATCACGTACAGACACACAGGACGCAACGTGACAACAACACCCATCAGGTAAGAAACACTGTTGAGCTACATGCGCTGTTACCGGGTAAACAAAAAAGAAAGTCTACTCGGTGCGGAGGCTAAACACGCTTCCCCGTTCCCAGCCGCGCGCTCCCGCTCCTGTTGCTGAGTCCAAGTCCACACCCCCCCCCCCCCCCCCCCCCCCGCGAAACACTTTATGGCCACCTGCTGCTGCGATTAATGGATAGACAAAGCATGGTGGGGATGGCTGAGCTAGCACAGCAACTCATCTGTCGAGGGAGTGGTGCTGTGGTGGTGGTGGTCATGGACTCATTGGGCATGGCCGCCTCGTCCGAGCCAAAGGCATGTGAAGCGCTCGGAGTCAGAGAGACCAGGGCTGGGCTGGCGTCTGCTCGCTTCCCGAGAGAACCCCTTGTGAAGATTCGAGCCAACCCCTTCCCCCTTCCTCTTCTCTCTCTTTTTCTCTCGCTTCTCCTCTTCTTTAAAGCATGGACCAGCGCCTAGTAGCATCTCCATCCACGGCAGTAGGCAGCCGGTGCCATGGGAGGGGGGAAGTAGGAGGGTTTTTCTTCTTCTTCTTTCTTCTCTCTCGTTTTCTCGCAGAATCATCTGTGTGCAGATTCCATGCTTTTCGTTAGGGTTAGCCTATTGTGCTAAGCTTGTTTTTTCTTCCATGGCTTCTTGTTCTTATTCGTTTGGTTATGTTGAGCTGTTCTTGTCGTTGCTGGAAAGTGTTGTGGACGTTGAGCTCCTTTCGGTCCAAAAAGGGGTGTTGCTGTGGGTCGATTGAGCTGCTGGGTCATGGATCCCGTTAGCCTACTCCATGTTCATCATTCAGCTCGAGATCTGAAAGAAACTACTCCAATTTATACTAATAGTATGTGTGTAGATAGGAAAATGATGGAGTACTCGTTGTTGGGATAGGCTTATGGCTTGCATGCCCCAGGAGCTGCATCAACCCTACATGGACCCTCTTTGGATTGAAGGGAGCTCTGCATCTTTTGTCACCCTCGAGCAGCTTTACTGTTCTGGATTTCCATCGTTCTCCTCTTGAGTCTTCTTGACTTAGCGCTTTTTTTTTCTTTTTTTAAAAGAAAAAATAACTTTTTTTTCAGGATTGTGCTCCATGCGTATGAGCATGGTGGTGATGATGTATGTTGCCAGATAGCAGTAGTATTAATATTGTTGCAGGTGTGGTGGAGGGTACTAGGAATTTAGGTGGTAGCAGTACATACTTGGTCACCAGTATCTAGTGCCCTTTTCCTTGTTGGGAAAAAAGTTGCTTCTATCGCCATGCTTATCCTTCCTCTTTCGGCTCTTCTTTGCACAGCAGCTCTAGATCTTTTGGTTTCCTGCTCTACTGGAATCTGATAATGCTGGATGCTTCAGAACTTAGGAGGCTTTTAGGGCTGAAACGTTCAACCTAGTTCTCCCTATTTCATCATCTGCAAGTATATATCTTTATTAGTTTGTTCTATGGGTAGCCTTTGCGTATTTAAAGCGATTTATCACTTCGCCGATGAATCTAGTTTGCTGTTCTCTGAAATTGCTGGAGTTCAATCCTTGTTTGCTCTTGAAGTCTTGATAGTTTGCTTAGTGATGCACTGATGAACCTGTGTATATCCTTTTCAGATGACCACAACCAACTGATTCCTATTGCAGCTAACTCAAGTGTGGAACTAGCTTTACGCTTGAAGCTTTCATTCAGAAAAAAAATAGCCTGCTTAAGTCAATTTGTGCTTTCATGCACATTCTACATACGGAGTAGTTTGTGTTTTGACTGTTGGGGCTTGAAGGTGTTTGTTTTATTTCCTCAATTTTGTGTGTTATTTTTCCACTTTATAGCCATGCCACTTGTCTAATGGATCCTTGTGTAATGTAATCTGTACTTTCCGCTCGGAATAGGGACTTGATGCCATGGCCAAATTTCTTCGTTACCTGTCTGATTGTGCTGATTGATCTTGATGGGTTGTTGTCATACCGACATCTAACCTGTCTTTTGGACTATTTGCTGTAAACTTTGATAGGTTTGACGAACTGTACTTCCATGTGACCGATGACCATGCCTGGCTTGGTTTAATAAAAAAAACAAATTTAAGCCTGAAACTCGAGTGGTGTAAAAACATTGTCATTACGATTCTTGCCGTTTCACCAAACGTTACTACCATCGGCATATATTATTACAAATGGTTATCTGACGGTCTTAGGTGCTTAAACATGGGAGTAAACATAAAAAAAGTAGCCAAACTTGTTTATTTTATTTACCGAAAACTTGAAATCAATCTCTGGAAGAAAATCCAAATAATAATATAATGCATTTTTGGATACATTAATATAACTAGAAAGGAGCTCGTCCATCATGCGTACGTATTGATAAAAGCGAGGTATTAACCAGAGAATATTGTTCATGATTTCTTCATAAATTGCCTTTGTCAGCATTAATTAATTGTTTAATAATATTTTATCCCATTAGCTTTATGTTATATCATATATATATATATATATAAGTAATATCTATAAGCAATTATTTATAATCTTCTTTGTCATTTGAAAAGAAAGTAGATTTATTTTCTTTAGAAATAGATTTATTTTCTTTAGAAAAAATGTCAACGAAAGTAAATTAAGTGTAAAATAAAAATAAGGTGTTTTTAATTGTATAATATATTATCATAATCTCTTAAAAGATAAATTGGGTGGTACATGAAGCTCCACTAAATACATGGGTTTATATAGCCTAATATAATTGATATATTTTGAGAGGTGATCTATCTATGAACATTTTATATAGTGTGGATGAGAGACTCCACGCAACCTAGTAGAAATACGATAACTATGAAGTATCATAGGACAATAATATTTTTGAAATGTCATGTACCATGAATAAACACTTTTTTAATAAAGATAGATTTAACTGTTAGAAATAATGGTTATACCGGTTTAAAAGGCATAGAAATATTTAAAAAAAAAGTAGCTTAAACATTATGGTTGTTTCTATATCTAACATAATGAAGTGAGCGTATTTTAATTGGTTAGGTTTGTTATTGTGAAACTTGCCTACCTATGTTATTAATTGGAAGGTTTAAAATATATTATGATTTTTTTCTTAAAATGCATGGATTAGTGAACAATAGCGAGCTATAGTTCGTAGAATATATGACTAAAATAAGGAATTTCTTCAATAATATAGTTAATTTGGATCTTCATTTTAAATTTTATAGTAAATAATCTAATAGTGTGTGCAAATAAAAATTATCTATATGATTTAGATAATATAATTGTTTAAAATTTGTTATCATAAAATATTTTTTCTATGTAACTAAAAGAGGAAAACAAGAGAAGAAATATGTGGGTAAGTACACACATGCATACTTATTGGACAGGCGGGGAATATTTTTTTCCATCTAACTAAAAAGGAAAATAGAAGAGAAAGGAAATATGAGGGGTGCACATACGTACGCAAGCATACTTACTGGATGGGATGGGTGGGATATGCGGGCCCTTCTTTTTTATCCCTTTTTATTTGGATGAATAAATCTAATGGTAGAAAATAATGGGTCCACAGTATATTAGTGAAAAACGACGGCTAGATGATTAAATACCATGTGGCGGCGTAGCCGCGTAGGGGCGATTGGAGGAGTGCTATGTGATGGCTTGAGAGCATTTATAGGATATTTAATAGACTTTTACTATATAATAGATGCATTTTTGCCTAAGCATACAACTAGAGAAAAATGTGGTAGTAGTAGTTTTAAAACTAGGTGAAACCCGCGCGTTGTCGCGAGAGTTTCGTATGAAAATAAGAAATAGAAATAATATGTAAAATATCTAGACGATAGAAGTTTGTATAAGCTGATATGGTTTACCATAATTTAAATAGTATATAGAATGATGATCCAAATTTAAAAGTAATATGATGTGACTTTATGAGAGAAGAAAATGAGGGAGATAATTCCAACCATTGATTAATTATTTGAGGGCTAAAAACAATTGAGGTGATATGGCTTAATGAGAGAAGAAAGAAATAGCATTAACTATGTGAGAATGAATTGTATAGGTATATAGATATTATATAAAATGATGGAGAGATATATTGAAATATTTTGAGAATTATGTGGAATAATGATTTAACATGCTTGGATTTTTTAAAGCTCTAAAATTTAAGTGAGAATGAACTATATAGGCATATAGGATATTATAAAAAGTGACGAAGATATATATTGAAATATTATGTAAATTATGTGGGATGATAATTTAATTAACATGCTTGCATTTTAAAGCTCTAAAACTTAATAAATTAGCATGCTTGCATGAGATTTGAGATGTAGTAAATGTTAGTGAATGATGTGGTATATTTGCAAGTTAAGCTTTAGAATGTAGTGGGCCTTACAAACGTGAATTATGTGGGATGATAATTTAATTAACATGCTTACATTTTAAAGCTCTAAAACTTAATAAATTAGCATGCTTGCATGAGATTTGAGACGTACTAATAAATGTTAGTGGATGATGTGCCATCTTTACATGTTAAGCTTTAGAATGCAGTGGGCCTTAACTTTATAGAAAGATAGAATTGGTGGCGTACCTTTTGCAGAGGTGAAAGCACTGGCGTCTACTGTGGGTACTATATTTGAGAATATATTTGATAATACGCTTAACAACAAGGCTTCTCACCAGTGTTTATGGTTGACCAATAAATTTTGAACCCCATCGGTATCATGGTTTTTGACAAAATTTAACTGCTTTTCGACAAATTCTGACTGAATTTTGACCAAATTTATTGCATAACATTTGAATTTTTGAATTTGTCTGAAAGCATTCAAAATTAAATTATTTCCGAGCTGTGTCGAAACTTCAAAAAATGATCCGGGACAGATTGCAATGGACCTTCGTACTTCGGGAGCTAAAGGCTGTGATGTCGACGATCCAGACCATTCATGTTCGGCAAACAGAATAGTAAAAAAGAGTATAGCAAACAGAATAGTAAAAAAGAGTATAGCAGGTGATACTATGGGTACCATATACATATACTCACATCGCTAGTTTATCGTCTGGTTACAGGGGATGGTTTATATATTTAGAATATGTAATGGATTAAGATTTGGGTATTACGTTTCCTTAAGTATCCAGACATAAATGATTATTACAATTGAAAGCAATATTAAATCTGTTAATATAACTTGCCTGAGTATTTCCTTCGAGGGCTTACTACCACTTAAGCTTGAGCGATGACGACGGTCGGTGCTGGACCACGTATTTTCTTAAATGCAAACAAATGTATTAGTCTCAATTATCCTAATACAAATGTAATTTCTATGTTCGTTAACGAGGTGTCTCGTTTTGGCGTTCGTTAACGTTCGTTTTATCGTTTATATCGTTCATTCACGTTCGTTCTACTCGTTTTCTATTGTTCTCGTTCGTTCGTTAACGTACGTCTTATCGTTTCTATCGTTCGTTCCACTCGTTTTCTCGTTCTCGTTCGGTCTCGTTCGTTCTATCGTTTCTATCGTTCGTTCACGTTCGTTCTACTCGTTTTCTATCGTTCTCGTTCATTCATTAACGTATGTTCTATCGTTTCTATCGTTTGTTCACGTTCGTTTCACTCGTTTTCTCGTTCTTGTTTGGTCTCGTTCGTTCGCTAACGTTCGTTCTATCGTTTCTATTGTTCATTCACATTCGTTCCACTCGTTTTCTATCGTTCTCGTTTGTTCGTTAACGTTCGTTCTATCGCTTCTATCGTTTGTTCACGTTCGTTCCACTCGTTTTCTATCGTTCTCGTTTGGTTTCGTTCGTTCTATCGTTTCTACCGTTCGTTCCACTCATTTTCTATCGTTCTCGTTCGTTCGTTAACGTATATTCACATTAGCGAAACGTTCTCGTTCTCGTTCTCGTTCTCGTTCTTGTTTGTTAACACGTTCGTTCTCGTTCGTTCGAGGTGGCATGGGCGGCGGCGACGGCAGTGGCGATGGCACTGGCAGCGGGAGTGGTGCGTGGCGCCACCGGCGAGGGCGGCGGCGGCACTGCCGGAGGTGGAAGCGGCGGCGGCGTGCGGCAGTGCCGCCGGAGGTGGAGGTAGCGACGGCGGCGGTGGCGGTGTCGGCGGCGACGATGCGAGGATGCCCTAGAGATGAAGCCGATGAGGCCGAGATCGAAGCAGAAAATCGTCTAAGTATTGGTGGAGAAGACGCCGCCGCCTCGGGCCTATATATACCCCTTGATATTTAGTCCAGGTTGTTCTCACCAACCGGGACTAAATGTCTCGCTATTTCCAAATTCTTTTTTGAACTGGCTAGGGTTAACAACCGGGACTAAAGATATAATAATGCATTACACCGGGTCTATTTAATTTCATTAAATATAGGTTTAATAAAATAGTAAATGATGCACTAAAATGAAATAAAATCACAAAATTAATGACAAAACATTTAAAACAGATTAAAATTTTAAATAAATTATGTGGATGATATATAATTAACATATGCTAGATTTAAAATTGTTTTAAATTCTTAAAATCATATATAATTAACATATGCAAGTTTTAAAATTGTTTTAAATTCTAATAATAATATATAATTAACATCGTACATTCTTCAATGCGGTCAACTAAGGACATTGCGCCACGTGTCCACATCCGACGCCTGTGAGGGTGTTTCCCCTCCCACCGCATAAAGGCTTTATGCATTGTGCATAAACACTACAGAA